GGGAGTTTTTCAGTCTGAAAGAAAAGGACATCAACAAACAAAAGAAATCATTTAAAGGGAAAACACTTACAATAATAAATAATACAGAGAAAATAATCAATACAGAAAAAAATACAGATTAGTGGAAAGAATAAAAAACAAACTTGTCAAATATAATAACACAACTTTTTGAGAGATAGATAATACAAAAAGGTAAAAATAGAATAAAAGGTAAAAAGTAGAGGGCATGGAGTTAAAAGTATAGTTATTTTGGCTTTCTCTTGATTTTTTTTTGTAGTCAAGTTATCAATTCAAAATAATTGGTTATAAGTGTAGTGGTGAGGGGGTTACAAGTGGGGGTAGTTAATGTGTGTGAAAATATAGTTGAGTAAAGTGAACAAGATCTGGTATTTGATAACACACAGGGTGATTATAGTCAGTAATAAGTTACTGTGTACTTTAAAAGAGTGGGATTGGAATGTTCCTGACACAAATGGTAATGCTTGAGATGTTGTGTATAATGATAATTATTATACATTGTATGCCTTATTGAAACACTACATGTACCTCATAAATATATATAATTAATAATGGTGTACTAATTACTATGTACCCATAGCAATTTAAATTTAAAAAATCTGTTATAGGCTCAGCACCCATAGCACAGTGGTTACAGTGACAGCCACATACACCGAGACTGGTGGGTTTGAACCTGGCCCAGGTCAGCTAAACAACAATGACAACTGCAACAGACAAACAAACAAACAAACAAAAAAGCCAGGCGTTGTGACAGGCACCTGTAGTCCCAGCTACATGGGAGGCTGAGGCAAGAGAATCGCGTAAGCCCAGGAGTTTGAGGATGCTGTGAGCTGTGACGCTATGGCACTCTCCTGCGGGTGACATAGTGAGACTCTGCCTCAAAAAAAAAAAAAAAAAAAAAATTTGTTACAAACTTTCTTACACAAATCTTTTTGTGACTATATATTTTTATTTCTCTTATATAAAGTATAAATAATGTAATTTATTTCTCTTGCATAATACCTAGAGAGGACAAATTGCTGAGAAACAGGATAGCTGTATGTTTGGTATTATAAAGAATCTGCGAGATCTTTTCCCAGTTCACATTCCTGTCAACATGTGTGAGAACTCCAGTTGCTCCATGACTCTGTGAGCTTTCAGTTTTATCATTCATGTGGATCTGTAATGCTGTCTTTTCATTGTTTTAATTTTTATTTGCTTGATATCTGATGATGTTGAGTACCCTTTTAGTATCAAAATAATAGATATCTAGGTATAAACCTAGTGAAAGATACGGATCCCTCTACTTAGAAACTACAAATTGTTAGAAAAATTAAGAAAGAAATAAATGGAGGGATCTTCTATGTTCATAGACTAAAAGACTCAATACTGTGAACTTGCCAATTCTCAAATCTATTGATAAATTTAATGCAAGCTAGGTAAATTACCTCTCAGACATGTGTATGTAAACTGACAGGCTGATCCTAAAATATATACGGACATGTGGAGGACAAAAATAGATGAGACAATATAAAGAAAAACAGAGTTGAAAGATTTCATCATCAGTTTATGCAGACTTATGTAGCTAGTCTACTTACTATGATGAAATATTGGTCCAAGGACTGTCAAATAGACAACAGAACAGCATGAAGGATTCAGAAGCAGACCACGTTCACTCGGTTAGTGGCAGAGGTGACACTGTAATGCAGTGGAAAAAGGATGGTCTTCTAAATAAATGGCTTATGGTTTATTATTTGGTAGAACCTCCATAGTTAACCACCTCCTTAGGTTAACCTGATTTTCATAAGCTGGACATGTACCACATGTACTCAGTGGATATTTCTTATGTTGACCAGTATGTTACAGTCACTTGAGTGGTCAGCTATTCCTTATGGTCAGTATTTCCTTATGGGGAAAAATTCATACTGACTCATACCATACACATAAGGACAAAGTCAGTTTTAGCAAGTTTAGATCTAAATGTGAATATAAAACAATAGAGTTTCTAAAAGGTAACATGGAATATTATAATGAACTTGAGGTAGGCAAGGATTTCTTAAAATAGGACAGGCATACCTACATGCCCCAAAAGACATGTATAAGGATATACCTGTTAGCATTATTCACAACAGCCATAAGGTGGGTCTAAGCCAAATGTCCATCAATAATGAAATAAGTAAATAGATGATGAATAAATAAATGGAATATTAACATGGAATTAACTCATACATCCAACAGTATAATTCATCTCACAGACACAGTGGTGAATGGAAGGTAAACACAGAAAATGTATTCATTCATGTGAGGTTTTTATTTTTATTTATTTTTATTTTTTGAGACAAGAGTCTCACTCTGTCACCCTGGGTGGAGTGCCATGACATCATCACAGCTCAGCAGCCCCCAACTCTTGAGCTCAAGTGATCCTCTTGCCTCAGTTTTTCTACTTTGGTAGACACAGGGTCTCACTCTTGAGCTCAACAGTCTGCCCGCCTTGGCCTCCCAGAGTGCTAGGAATACAGGCATGAGCCACCATGCCTGGCCTAAATTGTTAAATTCATTATAATTTACAAATTTTTAAAATTCAGATAAAGCATATTGAAAAAAATCTTAATTATGCAATCTGCTTATCACTGTGAAACAAATTATTTAATATGTATCTTAATATGTGTTTGCAGATATTTTAATAAGATTTACTTTATCTGACTTCAAATTCAGCTGCCTAAAAAAGTTTACTTCAGAAACAAGATTGAGTTCAGATAGCTGTTTTAAAATGTTCTAAGGGGATCCTTTTGTATATTAGAAGATTTTGGTTTATTGTGGCTCAAAGCTAAGAACAGATTTCTATGACTGATCTGATTGACTTACAGGCCTACTGTTTGTATTCATCCAAGAATCATTTCTCAAATCATTTCAGAGAGCTTGTTTCAGGAAGTATTCTGTATTTATATGAAAATAATTTCACTGACCCAGCAGTGGAATGATTTTCACTTTTCCTTATACAGGTTGAGCATTCCAAATCTGAAGATCAGAAATGCTCCAAAATCTAAAAGTTTTTGAGCATCAACATGACACTTAAAGGAAATGTTCTTTGGAGCTGAAATTTCAGATTTCAGATTTTGATATCTGCATGATGTAAATATTCTAAATTCCAAAAGTGCCTAGAATCCAGAACACCTCGAGTCCTGAACATTCCGGATGAGGGACAGTCGGCCTATACTGACTGACCAGAAGACTGTCCTGCTGCATCTCTTGTGAGCACTGACCAGTGTTTGTTGTTGAGACCCAGGATTTGCCTTCTGACTTCTGAGAAAGCTAAAGTTAATGCACTTGTTTTCAAATGGAATTTATAATCTTGGCTTCATATAATTCATTTCTCTCAATCCTGATATTATTGATGGAAAGAACATTAAAGTAAAAAGTATATGAAAATTATCTAGAAAGATACACATTATTCTATTCAGGAATGGAATAGTAGGTAATGGAAAAGTCTGACTGAATTGTTTTATACAGTAAGGATGTTTTTTAAGATGTTATATAACATGATGGCTTGGTGACAGGAGCTCAGTGGTTAGGGTGCTGGCCACATACAGCAGGGCTGGCAGGTTTGAACCCGACCGGGGCCTGCTGAACAACAACGACAACAACAACAACAACAATAGACGCCATTGTGGTGGACAACTGTAGTCCCAGCTACTTGGGAGGCTGAGGCAAGAGTTTGAGGTTGCTGTGAGCACTCTACAGAAAGCAACATAGTGAAACTCTATCTCAAAAAAAAAAAAAAAGATGTTATATAACGTGAAATCCACAGGTTGGGAGTGGTGTGTACAGGTCTAGGTCAACTGCAATCTCACACCAAGTACTAACAGCCAGGTGCGTGGCTTGCCTCCAGCAGCCATTGCTTCTAAAGCTTGTTGCAGGGCCATCCTTCCCTCATTCAGAGCTGAGGGGTGGGAGTACAGAGGGCAGGCACTAGAAAGAAGAGGGATGTGGGTGTTGGGTGAGCCCCAGAAAGTTTGCCGTGCACTCTGAACTCAGAGGGGTCACACCTGGGGAGGGCACTGGGCCTAGGAGTGGCAGATGAGGTTCCACTTTGTTCAAACAACACTGGAAAACAAATAGGACAGTGTGGACACAACCATGCCTTTCTGGGTGGTCAGAATGTGAGTTTAGGTTGTTACCTTTGCACTTCTCTGGAGTTTTTGTTAATAGTCCTAAAAAAAAAAATTGTTTTAACGCACTGCTTTATAAAGGGAGAACATTAGAGTACAAGTGAGAAACAGACCAGGACTCTGCGGTGCCTTTTCTTTCCGTCCGTGACACCTATAGACACTTAACGTCCACTATGCACTCCATTTTATTTACAGAATGTGAATCTTACCTCCAGTCCTTCTGTTACCTAGGTTTTTTACAAAAATGAAAATAAGAGTGTAAGGTTTTTGGCTTGGTGCCTGTGGCTCAAGTGGCTAAGGTGCCAGCCACATACACCTAGGGTGGTAGGTTCAAATCCAGCCCAGGCCCACCAAACAACAATGACGGCTGCAACCAAAAAATGGCCAGGTGTTGTGGCGGGCGCCTGTGGTCCCAGCTACTTGGGAGGCTGAGGCAGGAGACTCACTTGAGCCCAGGAGTTGGAGGTTGCTGTGAGCGTGATGCCATGGCACTCTACCCAGGGGGATAGCTTGAGCTCGAGGCCCTGTCTCAAAAAAAAAAAGACTGTAAGGCTTTCTACATTACAAACTTAATAAGCACAAGTATTCCATTTGCATTCATAGTTTTAGAAACTTTTTGTTGGAAGGAATATGTTCCACACAATTTCCCAAAATGGTAGAACTCCAGTAAACTTGGATTTTCTTCAATTCTATATAATTATTTTTGCTGTGAATCACACAGCCATTGATTTGTCACACTTCACTGATTTTGTGACATGTGGCCACTGTACCTAGAAAACCTCAGAACAAGAATCTTATAGTCATATCAATCTTCTACTTCTTGTCTCCTTTTAGGTGAATGGTGATATTCCCCCTCGGTTAAAAAAAAGTGCTCATGAAATCATCCTCGACTTCATCAGATCAAGGCCTCCTTTAAACCCAGTAAGTAGCCTGACATATTCTGGGACATAACATGAATTTCCCTGTGGGTTGTCATCTCAGAACTCAGCTTCTGTAAGTGTTTTAAGTTTTTACACTAAGACTTTATTCTAATGATGAATCCCAACTATAAATTATATTCTTATGTCACAGAAAGATACTTAAAACTATTCAATACAAAGCTGTCTTAGGATGTTTATATTCAAAACAACCTGGGTCATGGTGCAAAATCTGGCCATATCCTTCCTATGTTAATAGCTAAATAAATACTGGACAGTTCCTGATGTGAATTGCCCTTCCAACTTACTTTTTAATGCTATCACCCTTCATAATCAAATTGTCCTGTTGTCACTATTTTATCATTAGTCTGCATTGCTGTACATCCCTTTTCTGTGATTTGTTTTCCTTTGTTAACAGGGTTCTCTCTAGTACGCATGGAGTCAGAATATTCTAAACTGTCTGAATATCGACTGTGTTTCCTCTCTTCTTCACTTCTGTCCCCCAGCCCAATAGCTAGTGCTCACAAAAGCCTCTCAGACCTAGTACAAAAAAGTGACCAGAAAGGGAATGGTATTTCCCAGTTGTGTACAGCTAAAGTGTAATTAGTGATCCCTTTTATAAATCTTTTTAAAAGAAGGGAAAGATTCTTCCTTCTTGTTCTAGGAAATAAGGAAAAATAAAGAAAACATAAGGGAAAGAGGCCACGTAGGAAATGATGTTAGGAAAGGGTGGTCATGAGAAAGAGGAGGAGCGTGGAGTCCTGTGTCCCAGGGCTCAGCCGCTGACCCCACAGCTCAGCAGCCTGGGTCTTTGAGGGGTTAATTGGGTTCCCTCAGTCTTGATTTCCTCAACTATAGCATGAAGATAATAATCTAAGGAAGGTATGGTGAGTTACTAAAAAAATTAATTTTAAGAACAGTCTATCATATAATATGAGATTTAGGTTGTGCTAGCTCCTGATATTACACAAGATCCAATAATTAACTTTTTGTTGTTATTGTTGGGACAGAGTCTCACTTTGATGCCTAGGTAGAGTGCTGTGACATCATAACTCACTTGGGCTCAAGTGATCCTCCTGCCTCAGCCTTCCTAGTAGCTGGGACTATTTAGAGATGGGGTCTCAATCTCACTTTCACTCAGGTATAATTACATTTTTAAAGGACGGCTGTTATGATATCTCTATTTGAGGATTGACTGTAAGACAGAAGTGATAGATGGAGGCAGTGGCTCACAGCTATACTCCTAGCCCTCTGGGAAGCTGAAGTGGGTGAATTGCTTGAGCAAGAGTCCCTGTCTCTACTAAAAAAGAAAAAAAAAACAATGGGAAGACAATCCAGGCATTGTGGCAGGCGCCTATAGTCCCAGCTACTCTAGAGGCTAAGGCAAGAGGATCACTTGAGGATCCTTGAGCCCAGGTATTTGAGGTTACTGTGAGCTATGATGACTTCACAGCACTCTACCGAGGGCAACAGAGTGAGACTCTGTCTCAATTAAAAAAAAAAATTAAGTGATAGAGAAAAAAATAATGGTATTCCTAAAAAAACAGTAATAGTAGTAGGTAAGACATATCTTACATTGCAATTAATTCCTTATCATGGTAGCATATAGGAAATACAATTATAACTTTAATAAAACTGGTTAGAATTAGTTGAACAAGGTTGGCATAGTGGTGCACACCTGTAGTCCTAGCTATTTGGGAGACTAAGGCAGGAGGATCATTTGACCCTGTAAGTTCAAGGCTGCAGTGAGTTATCGTTGCACCTGTGAATAAATAGCCACTATACTCCAACCTGGGCAACATAATGAGACCCTGTCTCTAAAAAAATAAAATAAAATTACTTGAGCATCTGGGACTAAATTGCAGTGAAATCCAATATAGTCTCCGTATCACTTTAGGAATCTTGATACTTAATGATCTAAAAATAGTCTTTTATCAAGCAGTGTTATACTATACTATATGAATGGACTTCAGAAAAAATTACTTAAAGGATAGATCTTCAAGTCTCTAGCCATTGTGCTTTTTTTTTCAAGGCCTCAGCCAGAAAACTGAAACCAACCCCACCACGGCCACGGAGCCTCCATGAAAGAATATTAGAAGAAATTAAAGCAGAAAGAAAACTGCGCCCTGTCTCACCAGAGGAGATTAGACGTAACAAATTATGTGAGTCTGCTGCTTTCTGCACTCTCAGAGTCATCTTCTAGGACAGTGTCTTTAGACAACCAGCCCCATGAAAATAGTGGTGCAAAGGAAAGGTGATCCAATGAGTTTCCATTCCTTGTTGCTTGCTCTCTCTCTCTTTCTCTTACACACACCCCCTTGCACTTATTGAAGTTTACACATGAAATTCCTAAGCTAGGAAATGCTTTTACCCATCTGATACTGAACTGTGTGAGAGCATCATGACATAATGGAAAGAACTCTGCCAGTTTCTAGACTGAGGTTTTAGAGAGAGTCTTTTACCACTAATTATATTCTTCATTGGCAGAAAGCATATGAAAATTTTTCTTACCAGCTGGACACATTGGCTCTTGCCTATAATCTCAGCACTTTGGGAAACCAAGGTGGAAAGATCACTTGAGGCCAGGAGTTTGAGACCAGCCTGAACAAAATATCTTCTCTATAAAAAATAAAAAAAAATTGCTACTTGGGAGGCTGAGGCAACTTAAGCCCAAGAGTTATAGGTTGCTGTGAGCTGTGACGCCATGGCACTCTACTGAGCACGACATGGTGAGACTTTGTCTCAGAAAAAAAAAAAAGAGTAGAAAAATTGACTAAGCACCTGTAGCTCAGTGGGTAAGGCATCAGGCACATACAGCAGGGCTGGCAAGTTTGAACCCAGCCCAGGCCTGCTAAACAAAAGTGATAGCTACAACAAATAAATAGCCAGCACCTGTAGTCTTGGCTACTTGGGAGGATGAGGCAAGAGAATCACTTACGCTTAAGAGTTTGAGGTTGCTGTGAGCTGTGACACCACAGTACTGTACCAAGGGCAACATAGTGAGACTCTGTCTCCAAAAAATAAATAAATAAATAAAAGAATTGGCTGTGTGTGGTGTTGTGCACCTATAGTCCCAGCTATTCTGGACTAAGGTGGGAGGGTCCTTGAGCCCAGGAAATTGACATTGCTGTGAGCTATGATGACACTCCTGTACTGCAGCCCAGGCAACAGAAGACTCAAAAAAAAAAAAAAAATTTCCTCTTACCTTCATTATGGCTTTTCTGTAAGAATTAAATAGGATTGTGGTAAAAATACTTTATAGGTTATAATGCATATATAAAGATAAGGTTTTGCACTTTAGAAACATAAATACACATAGTTTTATTTCATGTTTCTATCTTAATTATGGGATTAAAGTTATGAAATGTCAATTATTTGATATGTAACTTATTCCTAAATGTCCTTTATATTTATTATGTTTAATTTTTACTGTGTACTATAAGCATACATTGATTTATAGCAAGGTCATGTTATGTTTGGAAACATTTTTGTTTTATATGTCTCTCCTCCAATTTGTATGATTGAAGATGTATAAAGAGTTCATAGAAATTTCCTTTCAGAAAACAGATTACAATGTTACTTGAACAGGAAAAGAACCTGTTCTGTGACACTACACTCTGCTAGTTTTCTCCTCAGACCTCATTCTTGCTGTCTCCAAATCATGGTCCTTAAAATGTCTGTACTGGGCCTCTCCTCCCAGAGCAGCCACGCCCTTTCTCCATTAGTTGTCATAGGCTGCCTTCTAGCTCCTAGTGTACGATGCACACCTTTAAAAGTTCAGACCCAGACATCCAGCTGTCTGCTAGGAAAGGGCCTCTTTATATCCTATAAGCAGGACAAACCCAGCATGTCTGCAAGGGAGCTCATATTCTCTCACCCTAAATAATAATGTCCTGTTTCCCTCAGCATGATCTTTGACTCCTGCAGGTGGCCAAGCCCTGCTGACTTTACTTCCTCTGGATATTTTTAGCCTTCAGCCCAGCAGCCACTGTCTGTCCCCCATCCTCAGTCATCTGCCCCTGTCCATGGTGCCTAGCTTCTGTCTGTCCTCCCTGCTTCAGCTCTTCACACGTTGGTCTCCTTTTGGCCAAGCCCTCCTGCTGCAGTGTGAGCCCTGCGATGGCGGGCCCGTGGCTTTCTTGTCTGTCCTTGTATCCCCAGTATAGGATTGGGCAGTGCAAAGTACTGCCTCCGTGCTGAAATCATCAATTGTCCCTCTGGTTACAAAGCCACAGAGTATACACAATTGTATCAATTGCTTCCTCTCTACTTTTTTTGGGATCAAGTTTTAGTCTTTAAATACGATGTTTAAATGCTACGCATGAGCACTTATATGATTATGAACCTAAACACAAACCCTGCAAACCAAGGGTTCTTTTCTGAGAGTCCTTGAATAAGCCTTGAGGGGGTCTGTAAATTTTCTGAAATACATTTTTAAAAATTGCCTATTTCACAAAATGTGTATATGTGTGTTTTTCTGGAGAGGGAATTCATAGCTTTCCTCAGATTCCTAAAAGGTCCATATCTTCAAAAGAGTAAAAAAAAAATATGGAAAAATAAGTAAATGGTACTATGGAAAGATAGTTTAGAACTGTATTTCTAAAATTTGCTACTCTTTACGAAGTAATGGGATTAATAGAAAAGATTTTAACAAAACTATAAAGGTAAAACAAATACATTACAGTGAATAAAGTAAGCTTTATGATTTACATCAGTAGAGAGAAATGAGGCTTAGAGATTGTAAACTTTAATTGAAGTACCAGTAGAATATTCTGTAGAAAGAAAACATAGGCATAGTGTGACTATATGATGTGAAATGGTATTTGACATCTAGTTTCTTAATTTTTCCAGTGGTTTATTGCTGTTAATCATTACATTGATGACTGGGGATATAGAGATGAGTAAGGCAGAGTCCCTGCTCAGAAAATGCTTCCACAGCAGGGACCCTGACACCCCACGTGCGTTCATGTGTACAGATGTAGGTGAATGTTTACAGCAGCCAAGTAGACCGACTCTAAGTCACAGCCACTCAAGGAAGTGAAGAGAATGATTAGCAGCCCTTGTAAGCAACCAAAGGGTCCCTCTTGCACCTAAGTATCATAGTGAACCA